CAGAACGGACAAACCAAACGCTGGCTCTAGATGGGGCCTTTTGCGTTTTTTGAGAGTTTCACAGTCACCATAGTTTCGTCTCCACACTTCACAGCCCGTTCTCAGTCAAATACAAAGGCAAACAGTGTTCAGTTAGTTGCAATCTGCAACTTCACCGCTAGATGCCACTAAATCTTACACACTGGTCCTTTAAAGTGGATCGCTTTTTACTGCACGTCAAACAAACGGAGTATGTTTGTGGGAATCACTCCTTAATAACTGCTGAATATCAGATCTGATGTTAGTTTCTCTCTCTTCCCTTTTCTCATAAAATGTATTTCTATCTTAAAAATAATAACTGCCCTGTGACATTATTTCATTTTAATACCTCTTGAAATGGGCAACAACATTTGTAAATGTTTTGCATTTGGAGTGATAATTCTGTGACCAGAATTCTGTGGAGTTTTTCAGCTGCATTGGTTTTAAAGCTGAACATGAACTCAGTGACAAAGCTCTGATCAGCCAACTGTACACCTCCTGCTCAGCATCAAACAGCAGACAGACACAGTTAGAGACTGGTTGTGAACACAGAGCATTTTGCAAAGAACCCGATATTTTCCTTACACTTTCTCAACCATGTCTGCCCAATGCAGGGTTTCCCAAGGAAATCGGTTAGCTGAAGTGGTAATTGCTAGATGATGGTTTCAACAGCTCAGAAAATGCCCAGTCTGGCTGTGTGATGGGTAACAACTTTTTCTGATGCTCTTTATTTCAGACACATTTCAGTGGTTCATAAGCTCATACTATGTGAGGGATCTTATGTAGACATATTCTAAAACATCAGAGGTATTGTGTGTGGCATTTGCTGTCTGTTGCCATCAACATGTTATCAGCAACTACAAGTAATGGGGTGTAAATCACCAGTTTCATCAAGACGATACAATATATTGATTCTTTGGACAATGATACGATATCTGCCACAATACAATTTCGATTCAATTCAGAATCCTGCAATCAATATGAGATGATATAATATATGCCCATTAACACAATCAGTCACATTTATCAACTCACAAAATGTGATTTAAAGAAATATTACTGTACATTTATTTTATCTCGTAATGGAATTGTTTGCATATTGCCTGGGAAAATTAGGCTAGCTGAATCTGTTTCATTTTTCAAAACCATTCTAAAAATGTACTTTTATAATCAGGCTTTTATGTGAATTTACACATCACACATGTATTTTTGAACAATCTCTTATTTGTTTTATCATCATCATCGTCATCATCATTATTATTATGACATATATTTCCACGCAAAAGATGATGATGTTTTCACTTTGTATCGATATATTGGACTACTGAATATTGATAGATTAATTTATCCTGATCAATGCATCATTACACCCCTACCAGATATATTCATATATGCAACAGTTGACTTGTTCTTAATCAGTGCCTCCATGAAGCTGCGAAGGCAACAATGAACACAAATTCAACAAACACCCCCATGAGTTCAGCACCACCTTACATTTTTGACTGATCACTGTAGTTTACCGAACTAAACTTGCAGCACTAACTGTTTGAGTAACTGGCTCAAAGCAAAGAAGTAGTAGGCTTACCTTTTATTGGTAACCGTTACTGTTCATTCTTTCTGAAATAAGAGGCTGGGTTGAGCCTCTGGTGAATAAAGAGCAGTAGCCTGACTGCTATGTTCAAAGAAAACTTGAGAAAAGTATTAAGCCATGGTTTAACTGCACTATAGGCTGAGTCCTAGTTTACCTTACATGTGCACTTTGTAATTTTATTTTGTATCGCCCTGTTTTGATCCCTTAGAAAGGGCTGTTGAAGGGGCTGTTTGTGTGCCAAAGTATTTTTTTCACCCTTTTATTGATGGACAGTGTTACATTGTGTGAGAGATTATTTGCTCCAAGTGAGAATGTTAGTGTGAAATTGAACACTACAGTATATGCCAATGTTGTTTTCAATGAAAACAACATTTGCACAAAGCAAGCCGATCCACTTTTCCATGTTGATAAGAGCATTAAAATGAGAAAAAATAATGGGACAAAAAGAAATCAAGGCACATTTAGAATAGATCAAAATGTGCAATTAATTGCGATTAATTAACTTAACTATGACATTAATGCGATTAATCGTGATTAAATATTTTAATCGTTTGACAGCACTACTATTTTTTGCAGTTTTCACTTTTCCCCCGACATTTTATTGCAAAAAACAGCTGAAAAACAATGTAACAGGCATCACAGTTTTTTTTTTTAGAAAAGCGGGTAACCCTGAGACTACTTCTGATTAAATACGGGTCTGTGGCCTGATGTGTATCAATTTGGGGGTCCTTTACATCAATAAGGTTGAGTAGCCTGTACTGTGCAATGTATCTGCAGCTACATCTACACTCTGAGTGGTCCTGTTGCTCTGCAAATGCCTAAGCTGTTTACTAGCATGTAAACCTCAACTCTGACCAGACTGCTGATGCTGCCTTAGATAGCACAGCGCTTTGAACTCAGTCTCCAGGGAACACGGTCGGGTCAGCAGTCTCAGTCAAAGCAAGATTCACTATAGACTATTCTAAAACCTCACAGTTTTATATAGATTCATTTGCCCAAAATGAGAACCTGTCAACCAAAGAACTGACCCTAGCTCTTTTTAGAATTTCTCTGGGTGTATTCCCCTTTCTTCATATATATAGCCTTGACAAAACACTGGCACACTTAGGAAAACACAATATTTCATAGTCAATTCAACAATCACTATACCATGGGATAGCCGAGAAATTCAACTGTGTATGCTGCACTTTAATCTTGTGTTCGCAAAACTATAATTAGGTTTGCGGGACTCAGGCCCATGCCTGCTCACAGTGGACATGGAAAGAAAAGGGCTGCCGTTCACTTCCCCCCTTCCCCTCCTCTTCCCCTTCTGCTTTGAGGAGTCAAATTGGTTCCAGATGCATTCTCTCACGGCTAGCCTCCATAACCGAATCACAACATGAAAGAAATGTAGGAGAGAAGTTTAGCAAAACTCGGCAGAGGGAAAAAAATGTATGGAATTCCTACACAAAGTAAGTGGAGGAGAAGAAGCTGGAGAATTATCTTCCTATAGGCAAAAGCAGCTGATCACTTTCCCACATGGCACTATTTATCGCACCTTTCTGGATTTTCTGAAACCTTTATCACTCTCACGAGCCTTCGGGAGACAATGTGCACCCCAAATGAGGATCTAAGAGCTGTGTTTCTTTCATGTTCCTGGCAGATGTGTCAGAAAAAAAAAAAAACTGTACAAAGTGATATTTAGCCAGAGCAAATCCACATCCTGCACCCATGTGGACCCGACATCAAAGACTTACCCACCCACCAGCATGTTACACCAATTTATAACCCTGCCCATGGAGCCCCCTTGGAACTCTCACTAAAAAAGGAGGCTAGGATAGGCACTGGCCAAAGTGACATTAAAGAGTGGCAACAGCTGAAGGTCTCCAAATGGCTCAAAAATGTAGCAACAAAGTACAAAGCCGCAGCTCCATGTTGACTCAGCCAATTAACAAGTGAAAGCAATTTCAAGGCCCGTTGTGCTACAGCACCAACACACACCTCTGTGTTTGTTTAACAAGTCCCAGTGAATTCATTAGCGCCCTGAAAAGCTCATACACTACTCACTCACACACATTTCACACACACTTTCTGTAAGCGGGCCAGACTCCATTCAGAACGACAGACAGTTTCCTTTCCTAGCTCCCTGTCTTTCTCACCTGCGCAAGCTCGTGAAACATCTCAATTGTCAGGTACACACATGGGGCCCAGAACCTAGACTGTATGAACGCCTGGCGGAAATCAAAAAGACATTCATGTATTTCAGAGACAGAATAATGTTGGAGAACGGCGCCAGACAGTTAAAACACGCGTTATTTTACGGAAGTAAATGTCTTTTGAGAGTATAGGATGGATGTTGAATTATAGAATAGGACCTACTGATTCGTAAAATATCTGAAGAAATATGAATACAAGCTGTGTGCCTTTGCTAACAACGATAAAGGGTCAAAGTTCTAAATTGTTCACGATGTTTGCCGTCGCGGGAACGGTCCATTTTTTACTTTTTTCCCGAACCGCTATGTCCGCTCTGTTTCCTTCCTATCCCCGGCTATTTGTCGCGCAAGGGACCGAGCGAATCTACTTTCAGAACTATTATAAGCTTACCAGCAGTCACACATTACCAGAAGGGACCCAAAGTGGGGGGGTTATATTAACTACGCCATAGCTGTCCGTTAAACTTCAAAGGCTCATTCAAAACATATTTTGTGGTGAGAAAGCGCTACACAGGATGCTAACCGCATACGTCGCCTACTCTGAGAGCGTCATGCTAACATCCATCCCAATAATGCATTTATTCCAGATATCGTCGCTGTGCTTTTCGGACAAGTACAAGCCTACAAATCACAACTAAAATGATTTTGTGAATTTCAAGAGTGCCATCTTGAATTCGTCTCGCCACAAACACATCAAAAGTGATCAAATTGCAACTTTTCAAATTGTTTTTGTCCCGTTATTCTCACAGTTATTTCACACCTTGACAGTCCGTGGTGGGCGGTAGCTAGCGCTGTGAACTAGTTAAACGTACAGGTTTCATTGGAAAAAGTTGCTGGTTGCTGCACATTTGGTCGCCCGAATTTACCAGATGACTTTTATGATTCAGGAGACATCTAAATGACCAGTCTGCAAGGTGTTCAAGTTCACAAATAAGTGAAGCAATCTCAGACTTGTATGATTTGCGAATGGAGTTTGGCATGATGTTCTAACTGCATAAGCGAAATCTACGAAAGCCAACGGGATGCCAACTGTAACTCAATCAACAAGTCAAGTCGCAAAAGAACACATGGCTTTAAGTTTGAGTTATACACAGTAATGTGTTTTTCAGCAACGTTAACAATGCATGAAAGCAGACACAGACGGACAATATGGACACAGAGACTTACAGTTTTCAAGTGGAAATCATAGACACACTCACCCTGAGCTCGGAGCGGCTGACAGTAAAAGTTTACGGCGAGGAAGAAAGTGATTATCTGGAAACACACACGCATCTTATTGAAATTCTAAAGTGCATTGTGGACAAGAAGACATAGAAAACACTGGTGCTGTGACATGCTCCATGGATCTCCTGTTAACTCTCTCTCTCTCTCTCTCTCTCTCTCTCCCCTCTCTCCACGGCCCCCAGGTTTTGTGTATGGACCACAGAGGACATGCGCAGAACGACACCGGTTAACGGTGACAGAAGCAGATGTTGAAATACAATTTGACTATTAGGAGTAACAATTATGTATGGAGTAATAAAGTTTACTTTCCACCAGCTTTTCAATATTCTTAACCCATGCCTGTAGCTACACGGTGTGATTTTATAATTGCCTTTACAGCACTTAAAGCTGCAGTTGGTAATTTTTCTGAAAATAACATTTTGTCATATTTACTGAAACTCCTGACAGTAGCACATGAGACAGATAATCTGTGAAAATACCAATCAGAGCTGGAAAGATAAGGCTTTGTGTCAGTGGATTGAAGATGGTGGTTAATTAATGAGTCTCATACCCAGCATGGATATTTGACAACAATCAGCTGTCAACTGTCTTTCTGGATATTCCAGGAAAACGCCTCGAGAACAATAGGTTAAGAATTTCAGATCTTCATAATTTTTGATACTCACATTCTGAATTATACAATCTACAATATATATATTATGGAAAATGGTAATCTGCTGCTTGTTATTGGTCCATTATTTCCATTTTTGCAGACATTTTATTATGTATTCCTATGGGATGAAATGAGTAGCCCTCAGTGACTAATGACTAAATATAGTATGATACAGAAATGGCTGTATATCTCAAACACTACACGGAGTTCAAACATATCAATATTGGCACCATGGGAATCAGAAAAACTTCCATTTTGTTAATATGTGCTTTGATCCAGTGTAAATCTGATATTTAACATATCAAATAAATGTTAAACTTATTTTTGTGATTTTTTTATTTTAAAAGAAAATTAGCTTTGTCTACCAGTTAATTCCCAACCTTTCTCCTTAAGGGAGTCCTTCACTGAGTAAATATCACTATAATAAGGAGGTCAAGATCCGCTAGTTAACGATGCCGAGAGATGCAGACTGCACTACAAGATCTGCTGTAAGTCGCTTAATTCAGATTTTTCCCCCATGAAATTTGGTTTGTTATAAAAGTGAAAAATGAAATATACAATGTAAAAAAAGAACTGTAATTTTCCTGGTTAGGCATTTTCAATCCAATTCAATTTTATTTTATTTGTATAGCACAAATTCATAACAGAAGTTATCTCAGGACACTTTTCAAATAGAGCAGGTCTAGACCGAACTCTATATAACATTATTTACAGAGACCAACAGTAAACCAGTAATTTATACATAAATAAAATTGTGGCCATATAGGCAAAATATTGAGACCATCCTGTAATTACGAAGGGCAGCAGCAGCCTTAAGCATCTGGGGGCTCGTTTCAAGAGCTAATGTGGGGCCTTTCTTTACCTTATCGGCAAGTACCATTCTGCTTTGAATAGCACTATGTGTACCAACTGACATACGAACAGCTTAAACAATTCCCTCAGATTAAATGAATAACAAAAAGCAAAGGGAACAGTTTTTAAGCAGACTGCAAAAAGTAGAAGATTAGAAATATATTTTAGAAGAAATTGCCTTTAAAGGACCAGTGTGTAGGATTTAGTGCCATCTAGCGGTTAGGTTTCAGATTTGGAATTAGAGGCCCCACCTAGAAACAAGTGTTTATTTGGTCCATTCTGGGCTACTGTAGAAACATGGCAGTTCAACATGGTGGACTCCATTTAAATCTAAACTGAATTCTGATTGATATTTATCTCCCCCCTTCATCACAGGAGAGTCTTAAAAATGTTGTAAAAATTACTTCACTTCTTTACCAGTGATTCATTTATTTCCATACCAGCTTAATCCCATATGTAGGGGAGCTGGAATCTATCCCAGTATGCACTGGAAGAAATGTTTGGAAGCACAGGTCGCTAGTCGACTGAGTTAACACCCAGTCACACAAAACATGTGCACCTACTACAATGCAATGTTAAGTTTCCAGTTGATATAACCTGCATGTCTGGAAACCGGAGCAGCCCATGCAAAATACAGAGACAAAGTACATACATACATACAAAATAGTATTTGTTCATGTTGCACGGGTTTATCAGAAGGAGTCATTGCTCCACTGTAGTTGCCCTGAAGATTTCCTGAATCAGCTCTAGATGCCAGAAACTATTGGGAGTCACCACACACAGAGAGCTAGTGTAAATAATGGACCTATGAGACATTACATGAATATTTTGCCATTTTAAACACAGCACATGATCAGTGTGTTACTGTATAAACCTTCCCTGCATATCAACTGTCTGTAAGATTGGTGTTTCTCTGACATCCAATATGAAATACATATTTAGAGTTAAAATAAATGTATCTTTGCACATTAGATCTATAGTGGTTTATGATATAATGCATCAGTGTGTAATTATGTATACTGGTACGAGTGGTCATAATGATAGATGGTGGGGTGTAATTAAGTACTGCCAAGTAAAGTAACTGAGGTGAAAAAGAGATGAAAATGGTAAAATGGGTAGTTTTTGATTGACGCTTCTTTTAGAGCAGTGGTTCCCACACTTTTTAACCTTATAAGCTTAACCCAATGATATGTCTATTTGGGTCACAGGCTTGCGACCACTTCATCTGAGGACTGATTATTCTTTGTTTTACCTGAATACTTTGTAGAGGCCTGAAGATGTAAAATTCTCAATGAATTTACATTTTAATAGTTTCTGAATAGTTTTAGTAATATGCACTATTATGTTTTTTTTCTTTCTCTTTTTGTCCTGTTAATGACCTCATGATCCCTCAGATTTACCCTGCAGCTCACAGAATGCTGTAGGGATGACATATTTTTGTAGGCCAACACAGAATCCACTATTATTTTTTCCAAGATAGTCCATATATTGCTCAAGGGGCCCTAAATTCATGTAAACTCTAAATACACCAAATGAAATATAAACAACAGCTCAAATTCTTTACCATCTACTTATAATCTTTGTCCAAGTTTTAGCATGATACAATAACCATTCAGGTAAGCCAGATATGGTGATTTGCCAGTACACCCATCCAGTGACAGGAAGTGTTGTTTTCCAGGGGGGCCTCCCAGTCTGTCCTCTCTTTGTCCCCCTTAATGCCCGTGTCAACAGGGCAAGGCGGCTTTTTGTGCCGCACAGCCGCCAAACAGCAGGGAAATCTCTGTCCAGGGAGACATCCTCTTTTGTAATGGGTCAAAGGTTGTGAGTGAGAAGGATGTCAGGGGCTAGAGTCAGCACTTTGGCCCCATGTGGCTACATCATGCTGTCGACAGGCATGAATAGTGAGGGGCCAGGGAGAGAGGGTCCACTGGAAGCGGAGGGGAGGAGAATGAATCATTTATTCATACAGATGTACTGAGGTCATCTGGGACAGATAGATAGTCCTTTGAGTTAAAAACATATGACACGGTACTCTGTGTACTTCAATGTATTTTTCTATTACCCACTTAAATACAGTGTATTACATTATATAAAACATATTAGATTTTGCAGTATACTGTATGAATCTATTACTTTCAACTCTGTAATGCAAAAAGTTATTTTAACTGAAAAAGTATTGTTGAAACGGAACATTCTAAATAAAACTAACTTTATTTAAAAAAATATTGTTGATTAAGTTGCTTTTGTAATTTTGTGACTTAAGTGACTTAATAATGTATTTTTTATTTGTACTGTGAAATCAAAATACCTAGTAAAAACTTAATTGGATTTGTTGAACATTTTTTAATGTAATCAGTTTTCTTGAGTTAAATTAACTTATCTAGTTTTACAGTGAGTAATATACTGTTGCATTACACGTTATATTTATATATATGTGATGTCTTTTATTATTCCAATTGCCTCTGAAATATACATTTTATTTAATGTGGCATAATGCCATATTACATTGTAATATAAAGTAGTATTAGATTGTCTAACAATCCTCATTCACTTATGTTGTTTTACCCAACAATAATCCTGTTGTAATGTATCCTCTCTCCATTATCTTAAAGCCATTAACACTGATCATTCGTCAAGTATGAATTTATATATGCTTTTATCTTTAAGTTTTTCTAAAACCATTTGTAATAACATTTTGTTTTTATTTTGCCTTTCTACTCTCAAAGAACTTTAACACTACATGCCACATTCGCCCTTTCACACACATTCACACAGTGATGGCAAAGTCCATCAAACAGAAACTAACTCATTAATTTACATTGACACACCGATGATGCAGCATCAGGAGCAATTCGGGGCTCAGTATCCTTCTCAAGGATGCATGCAGCAGGAGGAGCCGGGGAACCAATTATTGGATGACCTACCTCTGAGCAACATCCCTATGAGATTACTATACAAGCCAATTTTATATGAATGAATAGCTACAATTCAAAAAGTGTGAGTGTATTTGATGTTAATTAAAAATAAATATATAAATGAAAATGTCTTTAAGCAATAGTATAATTGTTTAGACTATTTAATTTAAATGCATAGCTTGTTGTACTTGATTTCCTCAATTGACTTTTACATGTACTGCCATTAATATGAACTTAATTTGGGTCATTACACTAAATGAAATTAAGATTCCTCAATACATCACTGATAATTACTCAATTATTTGAGTGCACGTAACAAAACTGCCCAGCATTTGAATTTAATCAGTGTTTTTCAGTGTAAAAGTGTTTTTAGAGCCTCAAACGTATTACTCAAAAGGTCTGCATCTGATAAGGTCAGAAGTGCAGAATGATTGGTGATAACAAAATAACATTTAATCACCTACATTTACACAAGCTGTAGAAAATCTGTGCTCGAGAAAAACGGGACACGTTCAGTACCTGCAATTAAGGAGCTGACAACTAAATTCTCCACTATGTTAACACCAACACCTTATGTAACTTTCTGAAACCAACAATCTGACAATCAGGCGGACGTCCTGCAACAGTTAGGCAGGTGTTTAAGAAGCAGGGTTTAATCTCAAGTTCTCTTTTTTGTTATTTACTATTTTTGTCACTCAGGGGCATCATTCCTATGTTCCCAGAGTCCTATGTTTCCCA